GGGAAGGGAGGAAAGCGGAGAGAAAAGTGGGGATGGGAGCCCCAAAAGTGAGAGCGAGGGGGGTTAGAACCCCCGGAATTAGTGGGAGGGGAGTGGGAGCCTCAAACCGAGCACGGAGGGGGTCTGGGGATTTTGAGGACGGTGGGAGAGGGGGGGGAAAGGAGAGTGGGAGAGCAGGAAGGGGGTGCCATGGGGGTCCCTCTGTGTCCCCCATCACTGGAACCCTGCAGCGGTTCTCTAGGACTCTGGGGGTGGGATCGGATCTGCACTGGAAGGTCCCCAACCCCCTGTCCATCCCCGGGGGGCTGATGGGGGGGTTCCCCCCCAACCAAGAGCTGATGCTGGGACGGCCGTGGGGTAGAGGGGAGTGGGAAAGGGGGGTCCAGGGTGGCCCCCTGAGCTGCAAACCTGCTGTGGGTGCTGGGGGATGATGGGGGTGGGGACGGGGCACCCTCGACCCGTGTCCTGCACACACAGGGGTGTTCCAGATGATGATAAAAACCGAGTGTCACTTCATCAACGGCACCGAGCGGGTGAGGCTTCTGGGGAGGTTCATCTACAACCGACAGCAGGACGCGCACTTCGACAGCGATGTGGGGGTCTTTGTGGGGGACACCCCGTATGGGGAGATCCAGGCCAGGCAGTGGAACAGCGACCAGGAATATCTGGAGGACTCACGGTCCTCGGTGGACACGTTCTGCCGGTACAACTACGAGATGTTCACCCCGTTCACTGTGAACCGCAGAGGTGAGCGCGGGGCAGAGCGGGTCCCCTCGGGAATTCCCCTTTCCCGGGAACGACCCTGGAGCCCCTCAAACCCTCCCTGGGAATCACCCCAGACCCCTCAGCCCTCCCTGTGCCCATCCCCGTCCTTTTTTTCCCCCTCCCAGTGCCCCCGAACCCATCCCAGTCTCTCCCAGTGCCCCCCCCCGCGTCTCCACCCCGCTGGGGCCATCGCTCTTCCTCCCCTCAGCCAATCAGAGTGCGTCTCTTCCATGACGCATCAGTTGCCGGGCAGACCCGCAGCGCAGAGTTCCCTCGCCAAGACAGCCTCCCAGTCCCGCTCCGTTCCTTCCCAGTCGATCCCAGTCCTTCCCAGTCGATCCCAGTCACTCCTGCTCGTTCCCAGTCCCTCCCAGTCATTTCCACACCCTCTCAATCCATTCCCAGTCTTTCTCAATTCACTCCCACATCTCCCAACTCTCTCCCCAGTGCCCTCCCAGCTCATCCCCTTCTACCCTAGTCTATTCGCAGTCCCTCCCACTGCCATCCCAGTCCCTCCTAGTGCCACCCAAACCCATACCAATGTCCTACAAACCCTCACCCCTCTCTCCTAGTGCCCCCCAGCTCAACCCAG